TGTTTGGCACGTCCACACTTCCTACAAACCGGATGACTTTGCCTTCCTTCTCTGCCTCGGCCTTGAGCTTCTCCATCTGGTCGTCGTACTGTGGGAGCTTCTCAAGGAACTCGTCGCCAGATGAGCAGGACTCGAGCTCTTTGGGGATGAGAGATTGTACGGGGAAGGATGTCGGCGATTCAACCTTCAGGCCAGCGAGGCGAGCTAGGATGGTTAGTTTGCGAGCGACGTCTAGGCCGTTCAAATCATCGCGAGCATCTGGTTCTGTGTAACCCTTTTCTTTGGCTGATGTGACTTCAGCTGAGAACTTTCCACCTCCGCCACCAAGAGGCTGGAAGGAGTTGAAGAGGAAACTCATGGTTCCACTGAAGACGCCCTCAATCTTTGTGACTTGGTCTCCAGTCTCAACCAAGTCCTTCAGTGTAGAGATGACAGGCAGTCCTGCGCCGACTGACGACTCGTGGAAGACGTAGCCACCAGCACCGTTCCCGTTGCTCGCAGCGTCAAATATCTGCGTCCATAGCTCATAGCTTCCAGAGAAAGCCTTCTTGTTTGGTGTTACAATGCTAATGCCTTTCTTCAAGAAATTGGGGTAGCTGTCGGCAACGTCCTGATTGCTGGTGTTGTCCACAAGTACCACCTTACCAGGCGCTTTCTGTAGGTATTCGCAGAGCTGAGGGAGAGGCAATGTGGGCTTGGACGTGTTCTGAAGCTCGGCTTCCCAGTTGGAGAGGGACTTGTAGTCGGCGTGGTAGACAGCTTTCTTGGAGGTGCTGAGCCAGATGAGAGAGAGATAGTACGGTGACGAGGGTGATTGGGAGAGGCGTTTGGAGAGGGCTGACAGCTGGGAGAGGAAGGCTTTGCCTACACCACCGGCACCTGTAATTCTTAGCCGTACACATGTGAAATAGAGGCTCGTTGCGCGTACCGATAACGGCGATGAATACTTGACGAGGCAGAGGCATGGTTGCTTTGGTGTGGTCAATTGGATGTATTAGACTCTTACGGAGAAGGTGAAGTATTTCTAGACTCTTCAAGGACGAGAGGGAGGATAGTCAGACTCGAGAAGAGAAGGGAGCGTTGACTTCTGCGGAACCGCCAATTTACACGGCTTCGACGTGGGGTAAGCAAAACAATCGGTGGGGTAGCTCAGTGACGCAACAAGCTCAAAGCTCCGACGCCGACATCGCCTCGCCGCGTCTCAGCCCTACGCGCTCCACCACGCGACGAGCATCAGCCCAATCGACTCAATCTTCAGCCCCCACCATGTCATCCAAAGACGCACATCTATACGGTGCCCGACCAAAGGGACGCACAAAGGCCAAGGAAATCTCCAGCTCCAGCAGCCTCGCTTTCTCATCGACCCTCTCCAACCTCATCAAGAACTCTTCTACCGAATCGAACAAGCCCACCGCAGGCCGCGCACGCCCGCAGAAGGAAGACATCTTCAAGACCCACAACAAGAACGTCAGAAAGCGCGCGTTGAAAGATTTGGAAGACACGGATTTTACACAGAAGCATCGCGGACGGACAACTGAGGAGAAAGGCGAGGATGAAGTCGCATGGAAGCGCACAAAGCGGCGCATGGAAGAGAAAGCGCGTCTGTACGACGCCCTGAAGCGCGGCGACGTAGAAGACATTGACGACAGATACGGCGTCGATTTCGATCGCAAATGGGCTGAGCAGCAAGAAAAGGGCGAGGCAGAACACACCACAACGTCAGAATCAGAAGACGACGAAGAAGAAGAAGAAGAAGAAGAGGAACTCGTAGAATACACGGATGAATTCGGTCGCACACGAAAGGGTACGCGTGCAGAAGCTGCCCGCGAAGAGCGTCGAAAGCGAACCCTTGCTGCCGACGAACCCGACCGTTTCACCGCACGACCTAGTATGCCGACCAATATAATCTTCGGCGACACTGTACAGACGCAGGCCTTCAACCCCGATGAGACAATCGCCCAGCAAATGGCCGACCTAGCCGCCAAGCGCGACAAAGAACTCACGCCGCCACCTGAGGTACACTTTGACGGCAGAGCCGAGGTAAGGCAACGCGGAATGGGCTTCTTCAACTTCTCCAATGATGAAGAGGAACGAAAAGAGCAAATGAGTCGGATTGAGAAGGAAAGAGAAGAGACGGAGCGCGTGAGGCGGGAACGCAAAGAGGCTGTCGAAAAGAGGAAGGCCATGGTCAAAGACAAGAAAAGGGCTATACAGGAGAAGAGAAGCAAAGGACAAGCAGAGAAATTTCTCGAGGAACTTGGTCAGGAGTTGTTCAAAGATGGAGAGAGGGATGGCGAAGCAGAGCCCAAGGTCGCTGCTGAGGAAGAGGCTGCATGAGCCGATCTCTTGTTGTCTAATTTTCTATACGATGATACCCACTACCAAACAAAAGTCTTTGTCCGACTCGACTCCTTCGATCTAGAATCGGCTTGTACGTCCTAGTTGCTCTTTAACTTGTTGTCATCATGTATGGCCTCTTCACAGTAGTAGGGTGGAGCAAAAAATGACTCGCACACTGGCAAAAACATACAACAGCGGGGATTCGCTAGTGGTCACCCACCTAACTACTAATCCGCCGGTACACTGCTTGTATATGGCTGAGCGGACGGGAAGCCTAATTTTCAGTGTCCTATGGTCGTATGTGACATAGATGGTGGTTTAAATCAATATGATCGCCTAGGAACGGCATTCTGGTTAGCCTGTCACTTGCCTTCCAACGATCTTAACTCGTCTGTACAACACACACCTGACCTGTGCGTTTCGCGCTGCAAGTGACTGGATTCCATCTGATAGAGTTCGTTGCTCTTTGCGTGCCAACGCCATGCCTTGAGCGGACACAATGCCTAACAGCTGGGATCTATGACGGTAGCTTTATGCTGGATGTAGTGCCTAGTTCCAGAGGTAGTGTTTGAATTTGGCATTTGATCTTCTGGCAACATCAAGGCCGCAATCCTTCGTCCCAAGCCACAAAGGTCTGGTGTTGATGATCCTAGATTGGTTACTTGTCAGCAACGAATCCGTCTAGAAACAGCGATACGGGAGGTTTTGAACTTACCGGCATACATTTCACCTTCTCCGGCGGCGAGGTTTCCCAATTGATTTTGGTATCATCCCCTTCATTCGCAAAATGCTTAGATGGGTATCCTTTCAGAGCCTTAATCTTCTTTGCGGCCTCATCACTGTATTCCACGTTGATGCTCGGGACTACAGCTATCTTGCCGTAGCCATTGAACCACATGTCCTTGGCGAACAATTTTGGTTCACCCTGAAAACACTCGTCCTCCTTGTGTGCTCGAAACCTGATCTTCCTCTCCATAACAGGCCTCGCAGTGAAGGCTGTCACACCGTTCCAGCATGAAAAGACCTGGAAAGGTTTTGAACTAGACCAGCGCGCATGAGCGTTTTGGTCATTCCAGAATAGGTCCCAGGCAAAGTCCCAACTACCATCTTCCGGGATTCTGAAGAACAAATCGCCTGTCATACCACGTGCAATCCAGACATCGTAGAATGTTGGATTGTCGCCAACGTACGTCCAGTCCATGGCACACGTTTGGTCCGCCCCTTGAAACTTGCGCTGATGTATTAGCTCCAGGAGATCTTCCATACATAGAGCCACATCGTTGGAGAATATCACCGTAGTGTCTTCGTCGTAATGTTCTGGATGTGCGATAAGATCTTTCAAGGCTAAGTTGCGGAGCTTTGCAAGACCTTCGATACGGTCTTTCCCTTTGGCCATCGGGTTGATATCGCTGGACTGGAAGTAGTACCTAATCCCGAGAAGCTGCATGCTAGCGCGAAGCTGATCGAGTACCTCAAAGGTGCCATCGTCGGATCTTCCTTCGACTATGGAAAGCGCGCAGTTCTGTGGCCCAAGAAAGTACATGGTTTCTACGATAGAACCAATCAACCGTGGAAGAAGATGAACACATTGGTGTAGATCAAGGGCAAAAAAGTATCTAGGGCGTTGCGCGTGCTGAAGTGATCCAGATGAGCCTCCTAAGTAGGCATAGCGATCGAGGTTTGGTTGTGGACATTCAAGACGAGGAAATGTCGAATCTGACGGATTTAGGATCGCATGCAGGTATGGTGGCGTCTGTGCGATGAGAGTAGCATTGCCTTTGTCTGATGGGGTGACTGGGTGAGCTGCCTCAGGTACGGCGCTCGGTTTTACTTCTAGTCCTAAACTTAGGATACGTTCTACACAACAGTAAATAGAGGCGACATACCTGTTGACGACGGATTGAGTATGCCAGTGACGATAGGTTTGATCTGCGATAGGTCGTTACCGTAATGGAAGAACCCGAAGCCAGCTACAAACAAGAAGACAACACAGAGCAGTGCGATCGCCTGTAGAAGCGATCTCATGCTCCTTGGTGGCGACATTAGAAATGAACGATAACAGAGCAAAGACAGAACGTAGCGCAGAAGATCCTAGGTTGATGAGGTTTCTTGAAAGATGGCGTCTACGTGCTGCAAGTGCTAAGTAAACGAGCATGAACAAGCGCAATCGCGCCCATCCTGCAGCCTGCCCAGTGGATGATGGAGGCGGTTTCGCACCGTTCCGCGTGGAAATGAGTGGGCGCCTGAGAGAAGTTCCGCGGATGCGGCAACCAATCACGCTGGTTAAATTTGACCTAAGCGCCGAACCAACACCTACGAAGTAGGTACTTCACACGACAAGATCGCTGGACGGCGTCACGCATTCTCAATGCCAAGTCAGGATTCAGCACAGGCAGCTGGCTTTACCTCTTTGTGCGTCTAGGTGCCACTAGATCATCACATTGTCTTGTATTTATCGCCCCATGAAACTGTGGCTGCATACAAGCAGTATAGACCATGGCCAAAGTCAGGCTCTCAGTTACGGCGACTATGCGCTGTACTCAGGAGTTTCCATAAACTGCATGTATCCTCGTGTCACAGCTACCTAGTCATTCCGTCTTTTGCTTCTAGTCTATCAATCGTTCTACGCGTCGTCACTCGCTTTAACACTCGTTTGAAGAATGTCCAGTTTATACTCTTTAGGTTTAATCTTTTTTAGCTCTTTTGAGCTGGTCTCCTCAAGTCCTGCTACGGTTCGCAGCCGGATCGCACCAGTAGTGCCGCATGCTACACAGCTAGCAGCTCACGCTGATGAACGGCTCTATAAACGGCAAGCCTTCGCACCTGTCACTACCTGTGGATATCTCGATGGCAAACCTGAGAATCCTCGAACAGCTGACCCTGGCTACGGATGCCGTGTCGACACCGCAAACGGTTTATGGGGTTTTTGTCCAACCAGCGTTTTATCGGCCAAAGACTGTGGTTTAGCTGGCTTATGCATCGACAACCATTCTTGCACGACGGGGTGTGGGAGACTATCTGATCGAGCCGATATCACTACGTTTACATGGTTAGTCGCTCCTTTGTGTTGCAAATATTGGAGAGTACTCCTCTAACTAGATAGCGACTCCGAACAATTTTGTTCTACAGCTCTCCTAATCAACGGCCCTGATCAATCATTTGAGTACATTGCCTGCGGAGACACTGCCGCCGTCGACAGCCTTTTCGCGGTGCCGAATACAGTAGAGGCAACAACAACGTCCGCTTCGAGTACTGAAAGCAGTGCCTCTTTGGCTACCTCAACCCAACCACCAACAACGTCGGATGCGCAAAGCTCAACAGTCCTGGATCCAATTGGCAGTATCCTCCCATCATCAACACCAAGCTCGACACCTGCACCCACCGAACAGAAGTCAACAAATATCGGGCCTATAGTGGGTGGGGTCATTGGAGGGCTTACAGTGATATGCTTAACCATTCTCGGTGTCGTTCTCATTCGGCGGAAACGCGGTAGTACAGAGAAGGTGGCACAGCCACCAGGATACACATATGATCACCCGAGTAAATTTGTAGAACTGAGTACGGACAGCTCAACTCACCTTCAGAAGGGACAGCACTGGGATAACAATCACGGCCCAGTTGAGATGTACGGGTATCATGTAAATGTGGAACCTGTCGAGCTTCCAGGGAAGGTACTACCTATACGTCCCCAATAGACACCGCATGAAATGCTCAGAAGAGGACGACAGAACAAGCCACGGTGCGGTTACAACATCGGATAATGACACATAACTCCTGTTAAATAGAAGTGCACCATGAATGATGTGGCCTTTAAGATCTGCTCAAGAGATAATGGCCATCAAGGCTCTTCCAGACCTGAACCAGTCGGACACCAACGATAATTCTGATCCAGAAGTCACTCACATGCTTTTGCAAAGCTGACAGACAAGATCCTTCGTGATGAGTTTGGCTTTGGAGAACGGAAAGCTTTTTCGGCTGACCTAAAATGATATTCGGCTGACCCAAAAGATCAGATGAAAGCAACTAGGTACCCAAAAACATTACCCCTAGATCATGAGATAGAAGCGAAACGCCACCTAGAACCTGCAGGAATCTTCACCCCCTAAACAAAAGATCAGATGGAAGCTATCCTTCACTAAGAAAGATTATATAGAAGCAATCCTTTACTAAGAAAGATTAGATAGAAGCAATCCTTTACTAGGAGTTTGCCTAATTAGGTAACAATATTTAAAGGCGTTGATAGTTTAGGTTATTTTAACTGCCTCTGTGACCTTCTATCTTGTCTAATTTCCTTTCATCTCATCTGATCATTTTGGGTCAGACGAAAAAGCTTTCCTTTGAAGAGAACGTCTTGCAAGTTCTGAACCCGCACGCCAGACACTGTGTCGCTCCAATCTCGATAGAAAAGCATCTTATATACGCTGTCGAGGCCCTGAGAGAATATGGAGGTGAAATCTATCAAGCTAGGATAGGCACCGAGAACCACCGGCTCTTGAAGGTCTGATCACACGTCCGTCAATGTAGTATAGTTCTCGAATCCTTCACATGACATATGCGCAGGTCCTTCACGCAGTCGTTGTCGCTCTCACCTCGACGACTCACCATATCTAGACCTCGCTCTCACCTCCTGGTGTTGACAGCCTATCGAGCCTGGAAAGAGCGAGGTCTGGACCTTGCGCTTTCTCAGACTTCGTTCTTGCCCAGACTTCGTTCTTGCCCAGACTTCGTTCTTGCCCAGACTTCGCTCTTGCCCAGATCCTCATATGCGTTGAGGTGACCGTCTTCGTTATTTGCTCTTCGCTCATACCTCAATACCGCTACACCAAGTCGTTCTCTGCCAGCGGCATCCAGTTACTCTCTTCGGTCTTGCTCCAACACTGTTGCATAAGGTTGCTCTTTACCAGCCTTACCAAGCAGGCTCTTCACATCAACTTCACGTTGCGATCGAGTATTTCAGCCATCCGGAAACCACCAAGGACATTATGGACGCCGCCGAAGATATCATGGACGCCAACTCGGACAGCGACTCTCCAGCGAAAGACCTTAGAGTCAAGTGTACTGTTCGTAGCAAGAGCTATGCTACCAAAAAGATAATGCAAGATCATCGAAGCACTGAACATAGGGCTAATAAGCCCATACACACTTGCTCTGTCTGTGGTAGGGTCTGCAAGGATAAACATGGGTTGATGCGCCACGAAAAGACGCACAACCGTGCCCCAGAGCCAAAAGTTAAATGCTCAGTATGCGAGAGGACTTTCTCCTTAGTGGGCGCCCTCAAGAACCACAAGCTCACTCATCACACGGACATAACGATTACAGTCGACTGCCCAGTGTGTAAGAAGATCTTCCCCGGCGAAGGCGATGTGCTGCAGCATCGTCAGAAGGCACGTGTGCCAAACCTCGCCCTGACGGCCAACCCGCTCTACGAATATGTAGATTGCCACTTCACCTTTCTGAGCAGGGACAGAATGAACAACCATCCTCTTTTCCGTTCTCTTTCTCCAGCCAGCATCTCACCAGCCCAATTAGCAGCCCATCTCGGTAAGAAGAGGAAGGGCTCGTCAAATCCGCGACCCTCGCCCACCAGACATGCAAAATGCGAACTGATGACAGCGTCAACGGCATCGACGACGGCATTGACTACGATGAGGACAAACAGCTGTTCTTCATATACCTCAAACCGCAGCAAGTACTCGATAAAATCGTTCGCATTCTTCCCGTTCTATCGTCATCGTCCCCAGCAATTGCGCTGCTCATGGAATCCATTTTAAGAATATGTCAAATCAGCGCCACCTTTGCACGTACCAGCAACTCCGAAGTCACCTAACACCTGGTGGACAACAAACAATGCTATGATTCATTATGGCTGGAAGCAGTGGAAGATGAGCTCACAATAATGCTACTAGAGACCGCCAAGATTGGACTGGACATGGGGCGGGACTACCTCTTCAGGCCTATAGGTTCTCTGGAAGACCCTCTCGTGGTTCTTGGACGCATCGATATCGTGTTCTTCCACCCTGAAGGATATACGGGAGTACCACGCCACCAGACACCCAGAGGACGCATGCAGTCCGGGAACGTTTTCGTATACAGGAGAAAGAAACTAGGCTCATGAGTCTACCAACAGCTAGGAAGATGCTGCACGTAGATAGCAAGAAGGAAAGGTTGCGACGAGAACTGAGGCGTTCTTGTTTGATATAGTTAACCACCATCAGACTGTGTTCTAACAAGATCAGAGGCGACGGCTACAGAAGCACTCACTCTAGGGGCTAGCTTGATGATGGTCGTATACACAATAAATACAGAGGTGTTTCTGCTGTCTTAGTAGATCGTTGTGCACCTTTTTAATTAATTTTTTGAACTTGTTGCCTTTGTAGCTTCAGATGAAACAAGAAAAGAATTGTGTATTGAGCGTTGAAAACTTTATCACTAAAGTCTATGTTAGCCTTAGAAAGATCAACCTTAAAGGTATACGGAAAGTTCTCTATAACAGTTTAGACAGAAATCAATAGTGTATACTTCTAAGGTCTATTTAGTAGGGATGTAACTTTTCATTTGGTCGTAAGATGTTTGATGCCCCTAAAGGTCGTCTTCGCAGCTAGAAAGATGAAGACATAGTAAGATTGCAATGTCATGACGCTTGACGTAGTTACGCCTAGGTAATGCGTACATTGCGGGTATCACATCGCACCTTCTTCTTCGCGGACTACGGTGAGGTGAATTCTAGTGCACAAGATGGATATACGCATCACCCATTCACAAGTACTCTAGTATTTACAAAGCCACCTTCTGCCAATCTCTAACTGGAGCAGCCCCGCTAAATGCAACAAGACCAAAGAAACGCCTATCAGATGCAAAGTTACTCCCACCCTTCGTCGCAATATGCCAAAACCTTTTTCGAAAACCGTCCAGAAAAAAGTTTTCCCAGGCTAGCACCCGGGTCTAAAAAAGTCATTTGAACATGGACCACGGCAAGCTCCGGGTCCTCCTGAAAGGGGGTAATCGTTGAAGAAGCGAAAGGACATACGGTAACAAATGGAATCTTCGTGACGTAAATTAATGCAATACATAAAAGGAAAAGCCTCTCCTAATGCCTGAAGAGACATGAGAGGTTGAGTTTGGTATCAAATTGTGGCCATGAGAGAAGGGTATCTGGTGATCTTGAGAAGTTGTAAGCTTATTGTGATGTAAGCTGCTCATTCTCTTATCGAGAATGGATGGTAGGTTGAGGTGGAGGCGTAGATAGGAGCGCGATTCCGATGGTAATGAGAGCAATCAGGAGTCATAAGATGCTGCATGCATTGCCCGAGGACCTGTCAATGTATTGTCAGCTAGTGCCACGAAATCAAACACGTCGGATACATCTCTTGTGGTTAGACATGTAAGCTTCAGGCAGCTTATGCATGTCACTTTCGTCATAATGATCAGCGCACAAGGGATGAAGTACCTCTAGTTGCAGCGACCATGCTGCACGACAAAAGAATGATCACCGTTATGCTCGTGTCGCGTAAGAGGCATGCATGCGCCTGAGTTCTTGGGCCGGGATCCGATGTGGTGTAGATGCAGGATGTAAACAATAAAGAAGGTGAGTGCTTACCATCGTTGTCCGCGGATCCTTCCAATCCACGAGTACACAATCTTGAGGCGCTCGCGGACCCGTTCAGTCTGTAACAACACGTATTTTTCCTCTTCTACGATTGGTACTACAGATGCAAACCAATATGGGAAGATTGCGGGGTCCTCGGGTGGCTCGCCATAGACTTGGATGATCCGTTCGCGAAGCCAGGGCGCACTGGCTTCTCTCATTTCTCGTACAAATGCTGTGCAGCTATCAAGTAGCTGTTGCGTGGATAATGTCTCGATTGCGACTTCCGTAGGGAGTTGGGTTTGAGGATGGTCGCGGAAGAATGCTTCTGCGTAATCCCGTGCCATAGTGGTCTCACGCTGCTCCAGAATAGCTTCCTCAGCGAGAGAAACATCTTCAACACGCTCAATGCGGCTGACGTTGTACCCGTCAAGTAGGCCATGAGCCCTCACCTTGAATCGTCCTATACCACGTGTTTCAATGAAGCTACGCCCATCGCGTAGTAACTCGTAATTGACAATCTCAAGTAGTGTTCCATACTCCAGGAACGGAGTCGAGCCAAGATCGCCTTGGGGTGCGTGTGTGCGATTGTACATAACCATGCCGAATTGTCTGCTACCTTCGATGACGCGCCGCATCATCAATCGATAGCGAGGCTCAAAGACATGAAGGAATGTCGGCATAGAGGGCAGCGACAGTGTACAGATGAAGAGCGGAACGTTCAACACGTTGTCTCCCGCCTGCTCTTCCGCCTTGAGAGCATCAACACGAGCACTCACCAGATCCGGGCAAAGTCCATTCAACAAAGAGTTGAGTATGACGTTGCTAGATTGGTTCTGTAGTGAGGCAGGAACATGCAGGCCTCTTCGACAGAAAGGGCAAATGCTGCTGTGGTCCATAACGCGAGCGAGGCAACGACGGCAAAATGTATGACCACACGATGTTGTTGTTGGGTCCAGCATCAGGTTGTAACAGACAAGGCAGTCTAACTCCTTGTGGGTTACGTCGCGTAAGCGTTCCAGGAGCGTGATGTCAAGATGCTCGTAATTGTCCCCGCTTGCCGATAGTGACTGGTAGTGGACTTCGGAAGAGTACCGAAGTTTGCCCATTTCAGCCATGGTAAACGTGGACACGAGGCGTCCTCCATGCAGTTCCTCTTGATTTCCATGATAGCTAAGCTTTTCCTTCTCTTTCTCATCCAAAGGGGAATCTTCATGCTGGGGTACCTCGACGAGGAGTGTCGGAGTATTTTCCGCAGATGGCCTGTGCTCAATTATCTCAGCCTTTATGAGGTCCATCAACTTGGTCAACGTCACGTCGACAGAGCACTCAGCAGAAGCGTGCTCGGCCCCGCAGCCCATCAGGGGACACGAAATACCCATGAGGCGATCTGGTGTGTTTGGATATGATATGTTGGTACGAGGTTGTGGAGGAGGCAGACAGCCGCGACAGACGGTATGACCGCAAGGCAGGGTGACTGGGGCACTCAGAGGTTTCGAGCATCGTGGACACTGGACTAGACGGACCATCTGTCGGGTGTCACAGTGGGCGTCCAAGGCTACCGCCTCCGAAGCCTCTGCCGAGCGCTCATCGTCGCACATGAAGGCCTGTGCAGGAAACTGAGGCTCAAAGGAATGCTCAACGCTTTCTACGATGGAGCACCCTTTTGTCCGTTGACGATTCATGTAGATTCGCTATGTTGTACAATGGCTCCGGCAGCCATATACAGTCGCAGGCCCGTCGGTGGGGTCGGGTTGTGGGTTTGGTTGGTCGTGGAGTGGGTGTGTACTGCAGGTGTGTAGGGCAGGACAAGGAAGGAAGGCGGGAGTCGAGTCGGGCAGCGAGATTGTGTATGTCGAAGATAGTTAAACCTTCACAATAGGCAAGAATGTGCTAAAACGTCTTCACGGAACGCTCGATTCTTCCGGAAGCTGGGACGAGGGCGGATCAGCAACGCGCGTGCTGATGCAGGGACGGGTGACGACGGAGACTGCCGAAGAGGGATGATATTATCTTGGGCATACAAGGTCGGGATATATACAAGCACGCGGGGTGGCAACACAAGAGCTCGCGGAATGGCGAGAGGTGGTGGAGTCTAGGAGTAGAGCGCAGAGCGAACAAGGACCATGTTCAAGAGAGAACAACTTGAAGTGGTCATCCATGCTGGACGGATAGTTAAAGATCGGCGATGTTGCTGTGCGCCCCGTATCAGTCATGGGAGGCTGCCCTCGATTGCTGCGTCAGCTCTGGGGTACTCGGATCGAGAGAAAAGCCCGTCATCGGCTCGCCAGGCTAAGCCAATCCTGTGCCAGCTTGATATAAAAAATTGGCACGGTCCACCCGCAGACGACCTCCAACAGTAAAAGACGACTCAAACCTTGCTTGTTCCCACACCAGATGCGCCTCGAACCGGTATCCCGAGGACTGGGACGACTGCCGCGGTCCATTGATTGCGCCGCGTTTCCGGGGAGCAAAGGTCAGAGTGGTGATCATCGATTTCTGCTAATTCCAACATTCCCCAAGTCGAGCAGCAACACGTCTGCCAAGCCCATCTCTCTGTTCTTATCCGCATCGCAGCCGCGCGAGCCCCACGCACGAGTGTGTCGTGTCAACCTATCTGCTATGTGCTGTGAGACCTTAGTGTTCGGCGGTATACATGTACAAGAAGCGAGAGAATGAGGTCAAATCGTCATACATTGAGAATCAAAGCACTACGCAACCAATCAGAGCCCGGACCCGCTTGAACCCGCGTCTGACCCAGGGCTGCCAAACGTCAATCCCATGATTTCCCATGTGTACACACTTGCGCCGGAAACGACTAGCCGCTGCCGAACGAAGACCCTGTACATCCCCCTAAGGGTCCGATTGTCGTGACGACTTGCATTCGCATCTTATCCACCGCCGTACAGGGTGGGGCTTGTGTCTTGTGTCTCACTCATTCTGCAAGCCACAACGCCGCGCATTCGCGGCTCTGGAGACCGCGGCTCCAAAAAGCCACTTTTCATGCTTTGAGAATTTTTTTCAATTCAATATCACTTGATGCTCCTGTCCCTGGCTGCCGTGCCAGTTTCGCCAAACGTGACCGGATGTAGCACTAGACTAGTGGACATGCTTTCCCGGCAAGCCCCCCAAAGCGTACCAGGGAACTCCATATGCAAAAGGAAACTCTCCATGCACGCTTTCGTTCGGCTCCACCAACATAGAACATGACTATCGTACATTGACATCCCTGTACATAACGC